GGGTGGGGCTGGCACAGCATGTGCTGTTGGGGATTGAACCATGGTCCCCAGCGACTGCCTAAGCTTGCCTAAGCTGGCACTTTAGACCACTGAGCTATCTCACTAGCCTGGAAGTAGCAAATTTTGATTTGGGAATCAAGAAAGGCTTTTTGGGAGTAGTTGTTGAACTGGCCCTGGAGTTGGAATCCATTAGGCAGATATTAAGGAGAGCACCAGGCAGCCGTAATTGCCAGCTTACGTTCACATGCAGAGGTAGGCTAGTGCGTGATGGTATGAGATGTTTCCAGGACTAGCAGGAAATTTAATTCCTGGAACAGTAATGATGATGCCTGACATTTACTGTATACTTACTGTATGCGGGGTAGTGTTCTAAGTGTTTTATGTGAATTGGTCATGTTTGTCTTCACAATGGTGATAGCAAATAAATTCTATTACAGGCTCCTTTTATAGGAAACTGAGATAAGGGGCAATAAATTGTGCCTAAACTATAGCTCTGAGGTATGAATCTAGATATATTTCAGGGCAGTTTTTTAACCACTCTGCTAGCATGACCTCTCCTGGCATTTTTGGTGTGTGTGTTCTCCAGGGATTGCCATCTTTTGCATGCTGCTCACCTACTACATGTGGATCAAGGCAGTGAAGACTGGTTCCATCTACTGGGCAGCCAAGTGTGCCCTTGCTTATTTCTACATGGTAACTTTTTCATTTTGTTCTTCTGTGCTGGGCGTACAACCTATCATGCGTTCTAGGCAGGTGCGTTTTCACTGAACTATGCCACCAGCCCCTTTACATGTTTTTAATTTCTTTTTTCTTTCTTTCTTTTTTTTTTTTGCTGGCTCAGGCTGCCTTAAGGGTGAGTCTGGTAAGGCATGTGGAGCTGGGGAGCCAAGGCCGTATCCTGTGCCTGACTGCGTTTGCATAAGCAGGCACTTAAACAACAGAGCTAACCAGCAGGCCCCCACGTGTTTTTAACTTCCGAAGTTCTTCAAATACTGTACATCCTATGAGTACATGTCAGTGGACCCACCTTCTTTTCTAGTAGATTGCTTTAAATTTTTCCTTTTCAAATGTGTTTCTTCTGTTCAGTCTTACCTAGACACTTAGACCTTCTTCCCTCAGCTGATTTGAGCTGCTCACATGTCCTTAAATGCTCTGTGGGATAGTACAGTGTGCTGTGTAGATGAACCCTGGGGCTTGGGGATGCCTTGTTGTATGATCATAATGTCAGTATCATAAAGGAGAGGTTAGTTTGCAGTTGTGGGTTTGAATATGATTTTTTTCTGTTTAAATTAGTACTTTATGCTTTTTTTTTTTGTGGAACCGGGAATTGAACTCAGACCCGTGCACTTGCCAGGGAGGCGCTTATTCTACTGAGCCATCTCCCCAGCCCAATACTTTATACTTTTTAAGCCACTGAGCATAAATAAAGTTTATAGTTAATGGAAAGAGATGTTCTTTACAATGGCCACAGCTGCCCACATGTGGTGGCTCATGCCTGTAATACCAGCACTCTGGAAGCCTGTGGTAGTAGAATCACAGGTTTGCGTCCATCATCAGCAATTTAGCGAGACCTTTATGTTAAAATTTTAATAGTAGAGCTGGGACTATAACTTAGTGTGAAAGTGCTCGGTTCAGCCCGCAGTACTGGGGGTAGGGGGCCACAGGTGCTGTCCAAAGGCGGTGATGGTGAACCTTTTAGAGCTTCCATGGGTGAGAAACAGCTGGGTGCAGCACATGTGCCACACGCTTGTCACCGCTGTCCTGAGGTGTGGTGGTGCTCAGAAGAACCGTTCTTTCCACCTGCTGCAGGTCTCTTCCTGGGGAGGCTATGTGTTCCTGATCAACTTGATCCCTCTCCACGTCCTGGTGCTGATGCTCACAGGCCGTTTCTCCCACCGGATCTACGTGGCCTACTGTACCGTTTACTGCCTGGGCACCATTCTTTCCATGCAGATCTCCTTTGTGGGCTTCCAGGTGAGCCCTAGACTGAGGAGGGATTTCAGCTTCTTCCACTCCTTCTAAGTGGGCCCAGCTAGATTGATTGCTCTTGGATCATATTATGAGTAAAAACTATTTATAGCTTTGCTCTTAGACTGCTTATGTTAATTGAAGCAACAAAATTACTGGTCATTAAGTCTAGGAGTGTGTTAAGATTTACTCAGTGAATTTTGAATTTAATGGCTCTTTGGCTTAGGTTTGTGAGAAGGAAAGGATGTTTTGATTGAACTGAATTGGTGTTACTGATGAAAGTTATGATTTTAAAAAGACCCCGTAATTTCCAGCCCCTTTTAATGCTAATGACCTCATTTAATAGCAGTGAATTTGATCTTAATAGGACCGATGTGTAAATCTTTCAGGGAGTGGAGCATAAACCTTTAACCACATTAACTATACTCCATAGGGCTTAACAGCTCTTAAAAACATAATATGATGTGTTTGATTTCTCCTTATGGATCTTATAAAAGTGGATTTGTTTATTTATTTATTTTTTTAAATGAATTTAGGATAGGGTGCATAGGGTGTACAGGGTCTCATCTCACTACATAGATCGGACTTGTAGTGATTTTGCTGTTTTCAGCCTCCCAAGGCTGGGATTATGGGTGGGTACCACCACGCCCAGTCTCAGTCACCATCTCAGTGCACCCTGGGGGCCGGGCTGGCACTGTACACTGGGGATCAAACCCCAGTCACTGTGCTCCGCCAAAGCAGGTGCTTTAGTCTGCTGAACTGTCTGGCTGGCCCCTGAATCTTTATTTAGAAGTCAGCAGGGGCTGG